TACCATATGGTTGGTTTCTATTTGAACCAGCCCCTATATATATATATATATATATATATATATATATTAAGTTTATAATAATATATAAATTATAGTTTTTAACCATAATTAAATTGTTTGCAGTAATGATAATTAAATTGTTACCTACAGGATGATGTGTTTTGATGCTAATGCTTAAGCAAAAGTAGCATAATTAATTAAAGAAGTGATGATTAATTTCCAATGACCTCTAATTAGTTAATGATTATTATTATATTAATCTCAATATATACTCCACAAAATCCTTAAAAACAAATTAAGGTTTTGGTGATGTGAAATAGTTATACAAAGTGACTTATAATTAATCAATTACGTGCATATAAATACAAAAGAAGAAATGATACAAGTGTGATGCAAATATGTGGTACAAATAAGAAAGTAATTGATTGTAGTGCGAATCTTTTTTACTGCCATAACAAAATATATGTTTTCTTTAATTTAATATTTAATGTCATGAGTTAAATAAATGATATTGGATTGGATGACATGAACACGAAAATGGACCTATTCAGATGAAGACACACCAAATCCTTTTGTTTTAATCATTTTATCGACCTACTTTCATATGAATCTCGGGACATAATTGTCATTTCATCCTTCTAATAATTCAACTCTTTTACTAGACTTCATATATTTTAATTAAAAAATGGGGCCTTTTACGTTATTCGTCAAATTAATCATATATGATAAACAAATAAAAGAATTGTGTTGAGTACAAGAGAGGGTGTTGAAGAACAGCGACTCCTTCAACTTCTCTCCTCTCTCTCTCTCTCTCTCTCTCTCTCTCTCTCTAGATATAATATATATATATATATATATATATGTGGATTCATAAAGTTTAAAGATAATATGTATATGAGATCACACACATACTATCAAGCAAAATATTTGATTACATATATATTCATACATATTACGAAGTAGTTCGTCTCTTTCTCTCTCTATCGAGAAGGCGATTGCAGAGAACACTGAGTACTGTAAAATAGAAAGAAAAGGAGAGAGAATTCAAGAACTGAGAAAACGATATTTGAGAGCTTTGCTTCCTCCCTCTCTTTTTCACCACACATAAGAGGTTAGTTTAGTTTAGTTTAGTATAGCATAGTATAATTTCATGCCTTTCAATTCATAAAAGTTGTGGAATTTTGATTTATTTATTTATCAAATTTGACAAAAGTATCAAGAAACACCCATTTGATGCTTTCTGTTTTACCCCCTTTTTTGTCTTTAATCTCCATCATCCTCAATCTATGTCGAATATAGGGTCTGAAGTTTGATGAAGATGACATCCATGTCCAAGACCGCCGTGGTGATATGGAAGTAGTAAATTCTGAAGCACTTGCGGAGAAGGGAATTGCCTTTCCAATTCTATGTCACAAGATTATATTTTCAATTTCTCGCATGGGTTCGAGAGATCGTCGGCACAGGATCAGCAGCAGAATCATCTCGGCCATCAGATCCGGAGGGATAAGCTGAGGGTACAAGGGTTTGAGCCACCACTGGTCGGATTAGAACAAGTGGATGAAGGACCAGGTGGAGGCGGTGGTTTACCCGCAGTTTATGAGACTGGTGCCGGTATGTTGTCCGAGATGTTCAATTTCCCATCTGGTGGATCCAATTCCGCCTCTGAATTGCTGGTGAACCAGATTAACTACCAGCAACAACACCGTAATCAGCGGCCATCCACCGCCGGAGATTGGTATGGCAACAGTGCTCAAGCCATGCAACTTTTCCTAACCAATCCGTCACATGAATCTCCATCTTCAGAGTCTCCTTCTCACCATCACCACCATAACAATCCTCCTTCTTCTTCAACGCTTCACATGTTGCTGCCGAACACTGTCCCATCTGCCAATTCTACCCTTCACCATCAACAAAGCTTCGGTAGTTCCACTGGTACCGGACAAGGGCATTTTGGTCCATCCACTCAATTCACATGGGTTCCTCCTGGTGGTACCTCTCATGAAGGGGAAGGCGTCGGTGGAGTTGTGGATAACCAAGGCCTTTCTCTCTCATTATCTTCTACTTTACAGCATCTGGAAGCAGCTAAAGTTGAAGAATTGAGAATTGGCGATGATTCATCGGCGGCCGGGATGTTATACTTTAATCAAGTGGGCGGTGGCGATCCTTACCGGAATTTGAATATGCAAGGAGCAGGTCCGGTTATGGGCCAAACCCACCACCCAATCCATATCGGCTATGGATCCTCTTCGTTAGGAGTGGTTAAAGTGCTTCGAAATTCAAGATATGTGAAGGCAGCTCAAGAATTACTTGAAGAATTCTGTAGCGTCGGGAGGGGTCAGTTCAAGAAAAACAAATCTGGCTCAAAACATAATAATCCAAATCAGAATCCGACCAACAGTGGCGGCGGCGGCGGCGGCGGTGGTGGTGGTGCATCTTCTTCTTCTTCAAAAGATCAGCCTCCTTTATCATCTACTGAGAGAATTGAGCATCAAAGACGAAAGGTCAAACTCTCTTCCATGCTTGATGAGGCAAGTCAAATCTCTCTCTCTCTCTCTCTCTCTCTCTCTCTCTCCCTTTCTTGAACATCCACCGGCGCCGGCACAACATTCCGGCGACTACTTGTTTTCTGTTGGTTGACAAAAGCCGGCAGAAAAATAATAGGTTTTCACTGACAGAATATGCTACATCCAATTTTCTTAATTTTGATTATATTTTAATCATCAAAATTAAATACATTTATCTTCGATTTGGTAAAATCGTGACAGGCTACTTACATACTATAATCATCGTCTTGGATTAAAATATTAGGGTTTATAGCTTGCTTAGCTTTTTAATCCATTATAAAAATGCTTGCTTGCTTCTTATTCTTCTTTTTTCTCCTCTGAAAAATTCGTACCCATTATTGCAAATTTTGAAATTTTCCACCAATTTTATATATAATAAATCATAATATTTAACTTAATAACATAAACTAAACTATTAATTTTTGGCTGTATTGAGAAAAAAATGCTACATCTTTGCACCCATTATCATCAACAGGGATTCTTTTTAAATTAACAATCAGTCTTGTTGTTCCTGTAGAGTAATCTGTGAACTATTACTGAATTTCCTGGTGGGAATTTCAGTTTTCGATTATGATTCTTGAATCTTGTATTGTTTCTGAAATTAACAAGTAATAAATTATGTCTTTTCTGGCCATTCATGTTACTTTATCTAGTAATTTAACTGGATAACTCGAAATAAATATAACCATCAAATGCAGGTGGATCGGAGATACAATCACTACTGTGAACAGATGCAAATGGTGGTGAATTCATTTGATTTAGTGATGGGATTTGGGGCGGCAGTGCCATACACGGCGCTAGCGCAAAAGGCTATGTCTCGCCATTTTCGTTGTCTAAAAGACGCAATCTCCACCCAATTGAAGCACAGTTGCGAATTATTGGGGGAGAAAGATGCCGGTTCGTCTGGAGTCACCAAAGGTGAGACACCAAGGCTTAAGTTATTGGAACAAAGCCTTAGACAACAAAGGGCATTTCATCAAATGGGCATGATGGAACAAGAAGCTTGGAGACCCCAAAGAGGCTTGCCTGAACGTTCCGTTAACATTTTAAGAGCTTGGCTTTTCGAGCACTTTTTACACCCGTAAGTCTCGATCCCTTTGTTCTTATAATCCTCCAAAATCCCCATTATAAAAAAGAATTGGATAACACATTTAGATAAGGTTTTGGGTGTCTATTATTTCTACTCTTGTTACAGTTATCCAACAATAATTTGCAAATGATAAGTTGATAATAAGCCATAAATTAAGAGTGTGGTTTAAAAAATGTGTGTATGTTGGTGTAAGCTTTTATTAGTGAGTGTGTGTGTGTGTGTGTGGGGGGGGGGGGGGGGGGGGGGGGGAGTGTCGACTGATGTCGTCTCTCCAACGATAATGCCGATAAAGTGGTTCTTTCATTTATATGCTTCACTTCACCCAACCTTGCATTTTTAAACCTACTACCTACTATTACCCCCCACCCCAAGTTAACAGTTGACCATTTCCCTTGTGGGAAACTCCAGATACACAGCTTAACCATTCTCCCTCTTGAATTGATCGAAGGTGTATACATATATACATATATATATATATATATATACATATATACGTATAATTAAAACGTGAAAGTATAATGAAATGGAAGAAAGTTTGAAGGGTATATTAAATAGATATCTATTGAAAATGATTCTCAGGTATCCAAGTGATGCTGATAAACATCTGTTGGCTAGACAGACTGGGCTGTCCAGAAACCAGGTTTGTCCTTACTCAACATCAATTCCATCTCTCCTTCTCAATCACTCTCCGCATTACATATACATATACATATGCATATACATATACATATACATATACATATACATATACATATACATATACATATACATATACATATACATATACATATACATATACATATACATATANATATACATATACATATACATATACATATACATATACATACATGAATATCTAGTGAAAGATCCACCTGTCTGTGTTTATCTACATGGGATTTGAGCTTTCCTTTTTCTGATAGCGAAATCTTAACAATGTTCATAAAGAATCGGAGAAAACTAAGCCACAACTGAATAAATCATGGATGAAGAAAACTTCCATTATTAGCAAGTTAATCCATCCCTTTCTTCCCAGAAATTGGGTTTGCAATTGCATGAACCATTTTTCGTTGTCTATTTTCTTTTTTATTTAATTCTTTTAAGAGACTGTTTCTCCAACCTCCACACGGATTCATATTTTTGCGTTGAAAATTATGTGACGAATTAATTTAATAACCAAACACAATTATTCAAAACTAATTTAAATTAATTTTAAAATATCAAATCCATACTTATGAAACAAAAACTATACCTACTGGAAATTAAATATCAAGTTGTTACATTTCAGTTCCAAACTACATCATCCTTTTAATAAAATTAAAATGCAGAAAGCTTCAAACATCAATGTATAATTTACACTTGAAATTGGTAATTCTAATCTTATACCCATATATATATATGTGTGTGTGTGTGTGTTAATAGTTGAATACAATCATTTCTAMAACAAATAAAAGAACATGGCATGGCTTACTACCAAAAAAGAAGAGGCTGTAGCACCTGTTAATTAATAGTGAAGAAGACAGTGCATCTAATTAATCACAAGTACAGCTGAGACAAGACCTGTGATTTCATTTTACAGATTATCTACAGACTCCCACAGTGCGAAGTAATTGTTTACATGAAATATAACCAGTGCTTGTTTTGCTTTCTCGTGCTTCTGTTCTCTTTAACCATCTTCCCTTTGCTTTGCTTCTGCTGATCTGTGAAATCTACCTTCCATTCAAGTAATCTTTATATAAATCTGTTAAATTATGTGTTTAATCTTCTCCTTCAAACATATTATTTGCAGGTTCTCATTTTGTTTTATAATTCTAAACAGCATCTTAGCATATGGTAGAGTAACCACAACAAAATATTACACCTTCGACCAAATAGGATGTGACATACCACCATCTCGTTGAATAATTTAAGATTTTATTTAAAATAAATCATGTTGTATTAAATTAAGATTATATTTTAAATATTTTTGTTAATTTGTAGTTCTTAATTATATATAAAATTATCTAAAGAAATTATATTTAAAATGCTTGTAGATGTTGTACAAACCTTTTAGTAACATGAACACATAATTTCACATTGATATCCTTAAGTTAATTTAGAACAAATTCAAGATTTAATAATAACAGTAGGGTTAAAGCTTAATCTCCCTTTTGAGTTCTGTCTTAAATTCTTTACATCAATGAACTGTATAGTATCAAGATCCATGTGTGTATACATATGTATCATAAATCTCTAAATATGTATGTGTGTGTATGTATATATAGAGAGAGTCGGGTTCATATAAGAATGATACATATTTAAGAAAATAAGAGAATGGCCGAATCACATGTGATTTTACACTAACATCACGTACAAAATCACATATGATTTACGCGACCTTGTCATGCGGCCATAGGGTCGCCCGCACACTTTTTGGCCGTTAATGTAAAATCACATGTGATTTTATATGTAATTTGATCATTCTCTTATTTTCTTAAATAAGTATCATTGTCGTACGAAAAGTAACTTCATGTATGTATGTCTATGTATGCATGAAATGAAATGAAACGGTGGTAAGTTGAATAGTAGTAGATAGGTAATGAATTGAAAAAGCAATCTTGGCTTTATCATAAAGTCAGAACAAACATGACTGTTGGAAGGCAGAGGTCTTATTCAAACGTACAGTTTATGATGACAATATATATGTATATATATATATATATATATATATATATATGTCTACTTCACCTTGGCTTTTAATCTCTTCTCTATTCCGCGGTTTTACATGAGCTACGTACTTTCATCTCTCTTCACTTGTACTACTTGTTGCTTCTTGTGTTTCTATTCACAACTCATTTTCTTGGATATTCACATTGGTCTCTAGCATGTGATGACATCAATTCTTTACTAGCCACACATATATACACACATCGTTAACCGTCTTAACGCTTAACGTATATTTGATTCATGTAGAAACGACGTTTTATATGAACTAATTAAGTATATTCATTAGGCTAAAAGTATCAAATATATCATCAAAGCAATCAAGTCACTTGCTTTTTCTATGGGTTTATTTGCTTCTTTGGTATCATAGGGAATATTGATCATACAAGTAAAAATGGATTTCAACTTAATCATGACTCTTAAGGTACATACGTACATACATGCATATACATACATATATATATATATATATATATGCATGAGGGGGTGTGTGTGTGTGTGTGAGAGAGAGAGAGAGAGAGAGATTAAAGTATATAAAATTCAAAAGTCTTAAATGCATAAAATGAGATTTGGGATTAAAGTGTTGTAAGTTTTGTATGTTCAGGCGATAAAAACAAAAGTACAGTATTAAAAAACAAAACTCAAAGCCAATGACATTTATTGGGATGTAGTTTAATTGGTCATATAGTTTCTGCTGATCTGCTCATAATGCTTTTATTGTTTCTTATTTTTGTTTGTGTTATGCAGGTGTCCAATTGGTTCATTAATGCAAGGGTCCGGTTGTGGAAACCCATGGTGGAAGAGATGTACCAACAAGAAAGCAAAGAGGAAGTCGATCATCATCATCATCAAGATGACGATCAAGATGAAGAAAATAAATCAGAAGGCAACATTAATTACAATAACCAACACAAAAATGGTCCCGCTTCATCATCTCCTTCTTCTGCCATGGCACAAACTCCGATGCATCCACCACCTCCTCCTCCTCCAGCCACTGTTCCGACATACACCACCAATTCTACAGCAACACCTGCAAAAAGATCCGAAATCAATGACCCTGAAAACGACCCATCAATCCTTGCAATCAATACACAACATTGCTTCTCGGAAAACCAAGCTACTACAATGTCATATTCATATACTCCCACCATCACCACCACCGGAAACACTTCCACCATTCCACCATCCTTTCCTACCACACATGATGCTGATCACACCTGCCGACGTGGCAGCATTCTTGATGCCGGGGATGATGCTGCAGCTGACATTGGTTCAACCCTCATAAGATTTGGGACCAGTGCTGGTGATGTGTCACTCACTTTAGGGCTACGTCATGCCGGAAATCTACCGGAGAAGACTTCTTTTTCAGTTAGAGACTTTGGGGGGTGTTGAATTATTACAAGTCTATAAGGTGCCTAGTAATTTAAAATAATTTTTTAGGCCATTATTATACCAAGAAGCTCATAAATTTTCTTTCTCTTTTATTATTTTTATATATATATATTCTACCAAAATTTTACACCATGATAAAACGTAGTGTTGTGTTGATAGCAGCATTTCATTTGGGTCTAGTCTAATTGTATAGTACCTGCTGTATATTTTCCTCTTGTATTAAACTTCTACTCTTGTCTCTATCCTAATAATTATGCAAAATTCATCCATAGTTTTAACTGCAAATTAACTATAAACCGCGACTTAATTATAACGGTGATATAACGGTGCTAGAGTTGAGGATTGACTTCACTCATAAACGTAAAACATGGGTTTAATTCTATCAACGATTATCCGATTGATCAATACTTTATTATCATATAATTAATAATTCGAAAAAGAGATAGTACTAGCCATTGTCTTTTCTTTCTCGTTTCTAATTTCTCCAACCGTTGGAAAAACCAAACGGTATTTTATCTATACGTTCACAAAGTTTAAATTCGTTAGAAGTTTTTAAAAATAACATTGGCTATCGGTGCAAAAAACAGATACAAATATTTATACAACTTATTTATTGGTAAAACGATGTAATGATCGCTCTTTGGATTAATATTGCTATTGTTTCAAATGTGCATATGCAAAAGGATCGGGAAGTTTAGTACGATTGTGATGTTAAAAAATTACTGATAAGGGTTTTTTGGGACTATATATAACTAATTATGTGGTTGAATTAGGAGGTATTTTGTTATTTAGGGGTTGCTTGTTTACCTCTTAATAGTTTCATCAACAGGTAACCTCTGAACCGTTAAGAGGTGAATCTTGTTTGGCAAAAAAAAAAGTTTGTCTCTTAATAGTTCTAAAACCCTCTGAATGATTTTGTATCATGGATCTCCCTTAACCATTAAGAGCCCTAATTTCATTGTACACAATTACCAAACAATTATATTTCATTTTGCAGTATATCGTGAGAGTCTTTTAATAATTCTGACCGCTTAATCATTCTGCACTAAACCATTCAGTAATTGCCAAACAGTCTCTTAATTAATTAGAAGTATTGATCAACCACTGATTGATTGTTTATAAGGATACAAAAGAATTAGCTATATATCGATTTTTTTTGTTATGGAATTCATGTTTTTGTTATTTTTGGTGTTTTGTGGTATAATTATTAAAAGATGTTGTGACAAAATACTACAAGCAAAGATCCACCTAACAAGACTAGAATCGTTTTCAACAAGCAAGATCAAGAATTAGGGATGTGCTACCAAAGTTGTTACAATGTCAAATCTAAAGTTGTTGTTGCCGTTTACTTAGAATACATGTGAAGTTATAAGCGATTTCATCATCGGGTTTTATACATGGTTCATCTAAAGTTGTTATAACAATCAATCAGTGGTTGATCCATCGTTGTATCGAAACATGTGCCAAAGAAAGCAAGTTCGAATACACGTTGGTTTACACCCCCCGGCCACCGTTTAATTTTGGTTAAATGGTTCACATGTTTTGATGTTATCTTGGAATTATATATCAAAACAAAATCATGTTAGCCCTCTATTGCTATAAAGGGTTGTCATGATTCAACTGCTAGTTTCTTGAATTTAGAACACAGATGCAATTGCATTTAACCTAAGCTTAGAGGTTGTTTGTTTACATCTTAATAGTTCTATATTAAGAGGCAACCTCTGAACCGTTAAAAGGTGAATCTTGTTTGGCGAAAAAAAATCCTAAAACCCTCTGAATGATTTTGTATCATGGAACTCCCGTAATCATTAAGAGCCCTAATTTCATTGTACGCAATCACCAAACAATTATATTTCATTTTGCACTATATCATGAGAGCCTCTTAATCATTTTGCACCAAACCATTCAGCAATTGCTAAACAGCACTTAGTGCTTTATCAAACCATAAATATATTATAGCAAGTTCCTAGGTTATTTGATTGTATATATTTTGTGATCTCCTAATTGAGGTAAAGTTGCTAGATAAGGTTTTGATAAGAAGGCAAAATCCTAAAGAAATCCTCAATGTTTTGTCTTTTGTTTTTATTTTATCTCCATACAAATAGCTGTCGTCTGTCATTGTCCCTTTTCACACAAGAATTCACATGATAGGTTGTTGTAAATACACTTATAAGCATGTGTGATTGTGGGCTTAATTCGAGAAAGTTTGAGGTAGCAAGTCTTGTTCCAAAATCCCTAATCACTCCTACATGCTAAGTAACATGTTGAAGGTAATGGTTTTCCGATTTTGTGATTTACTTGCGTCACGAAAGGTGAGTCGTATTACGTCTTGTTGGCAACTTCACAAGTTCAATTAGTCGCACTCTCTTTCGGGAAATCAACGTCATGGTGTTTTGATTTCACTCGACTTCTTCAGATGTAAATGCTTGATGTACCGATTTAATGTTGCTATATGGGAATTATGCGTTAGCATACGTGTAAGTGATGGATAAAAATGTGTTGTCTTAAAACCACACGTCACATCCCTATCTCCAACCAATAAAATTAAGACGTATCAGAGTTTTGTATATTAAATTTATTTTATTCAAGTTCATATTATATCTCCGATGATGTGTATTCATGTGATTGATGGATTGTAGAATGAGACGTGAGAATTTGGGACAGTAGATTCTTGTAAGTAAATGGTATAGAAGTTACATTTCCTTAAATATAGTGATTATAAGAAGTTCAGTTTCATAGGAATATTATATTAAATAAAAAAATAATTATGGTTAATTAAAAGAGTTAGTTTTAACTGATGAAACTAAATCCAAAGATAACCTAATTAGACTTTAATTAAAAAGACCAAATGCCGTGAGAAAGTAAGAAAAGAAAAAAGAATTCATATGTGAATCATTCAAAAAAATACCATTTTAAAACGTATATGTAAACTTATATAAATAATTTGTAAAACGTCGGTTCATACATAATTAATTTGATGAATATGTGTTTTCATAGAAGTTTTGAATGTTTCCTAATATAAAGTATTAATCATAATTAATGAACTATATTCATCTTTCATAAATATTCAAATCATAATAAATGAACTATATTCATCTTTCATAAATATTCAAATCATAATAAATGAACTCTCATCATTTCCATAAACATCTCAATTTATTGGGTTAGAATGGTTGTACAAATGTGATGGGTTGCATTTGAAACGAACTATATATATATATATATATATATATAGAGAGAGAGAGAGAGAGAGAGAGGGAGAGAGGGGTTGGTTATTATACAACCATTTACATTTGTACAACCAATACAACTCAATCTCAACCGTCCATTTAATTTGATSAATATGTGATTTCATAGAAGTTTTGATTGTTTCCTAATATAAAGTATTGATCATAATTAATAAACCATATTCATCTTTCATAAATATTCAAATCATAATAAATGAACTCTCATCATTTTCATAAATATCTCAATTAATTTGGTTGTATTGGTTGTACAAATAGACATGGTTGTATCTGAAATATACCCTATATATATATATATATATATATATATATATATATAGAGAGAGAGAGAGAGAGAGGTTGGTTATTATACAATTCTTGACATTTGTGCAACCAATACAACCCAATCTCAACCGTCCATTTCATTTGATGAATATGTGATTTTATAGAAGTTTTGATTGTTTCATAATATAAAGTATTAATCATAATTAATGAACTCTATTCATATTCCATAAATATTCAAATCATAATAAATGAACTCCAATCATTTATATAAATATCTCAATTAATTGGGTTGCAAGGGTTGTACAAATGCACAAGGTTGTAAAAGAAATATACCCTATATATATATATATATATATAGGGTATATTTCTTTTACAACCTTGTGCATTTGTACAACCYTTGCAACCCAATTAATTGAGATATTTATAKAAATGATTGGAGTTCATTTATTATGATTTGAATATTTATGGAATATGAATATAGTTTATTAATTATGATTAATACTTTATATTAGGAAACAATTAATTGATTAAAAATTGAATGGTTGAGATGAGGGTTGTATAGGGTGTAGGAATGGCAAAGGGTGTAGAATAACATCCCTCTATATATATATATATTAAACCTTCCATTTTTAGCTTCTTTAAGATACTTAGCTTTCTTACTTGAACCGGCTCTTAGATTCTAATCAGAAATGTTGGTCTTTCTCCATCTATAAATTTGTGTCTTAGAAGGAACAACTATTTTCACGATAAACAACACACATTACAGAAATAATGGGCAAGGAGTAGGAAACCGAACCGGTCTCTTGGCAATTCAATAATTTTAGCAAACAACACGAAAGTCAGAATGTCTCGAGGTGATCGATCGATGTTTACTTTACAAGATTAATCCTACATCTATAATATTCATGTAGCTCACGATCTTAGGACTCACATAAATTAGTGTCACTTAAACTAGATTCATAAAATAATATGATTTAATTAAGAGCAGGCGTAAAAGATGAGGTATTCAGGTTCCTGTCTTCCCATAAACGTCTGACAGATGGTGAACCTGGGGTCTAGGGACAATATCATCAAGCAAATTATATTATGAATGTGTGCATTTCGATTCAGAATGGTTTTTTTGTCTTGTCCAGTGTCCTATATCTTTAATGCTTACCTTCTCTCTGTACATCTACTCGTATTTTGTGGGTCCTTTTCGTCTTTATAGCATTGGGTTCTCAAGAGGGTTATGATAAAGACGAAACTTGCAGGAGAGAGAGAGAGATGACAATGGCAATGGACATTTTGCTGTTTCCAGCAGGATAACTTGTGGCCCTCCTTGATGTAGACTTTGTAACCCTCCCTTTCTTTCATTTATTTAGTAATCATATCTTCATCACAAATATACTGTTGTCAAATCTAGTTTAGTTTTTGCCATAATCATGTATAGATTTACTTCTAATGATTGTAGACATTTACAATCACCAAAATATGCATTTTTTACCAATAGAATCTTCATACCACATGTAACTTTCATTACAAAACATATATATATATATATATATATATATATTCAATATATTGAAGAAATTAAGATTTAAGTGACAATAGAGTTGTCATGTTCATGGATGGAAGGACCACATTTTGATTTTACGAAAAAGATGTGATATTGTGTTTGTATATGTCTTGTATATGGTTTTACGACATCTCAATCGGGTTTATTATTATTGATGTTACTTGCACATTGGTTGCAATTGGACCACTAGATGTAGTACACAAG